GCGCCCGCGCCCGCACCCCCAACCCGGGCGCGCCCCCTCGCCTGGCGGGCGCCCACCGGCCCGGCAGCCCCCTGCCGTCAGTCCCTGCGCCCCGAGCGGGGGTGTCGGCCCGGGAGGCTGGAGCGGGAGAAGGTTGTATGTACACACACACACACACACACACACACAACACAACACAACACGACGCGTCGATTTCCCTTCGCTCCTCTTCCAGCTGTTTTCTGTGCCGGCGACTGGGGTTTGGGGTTTGTTTGCTGGTTGTTGCTTTTGCCCCTCTCGGGAGAGCAGCGGTAGGGGTAAAATTTTAATCTAAATAAGGGGCGAAGGGGATGGGGGAGGGGGGAGAAAGAATCAGAGGAGAAAAAAATAGCCACTTACTGTAAAGTGTAAATGGATCTGGGGTTGCGTGGGGAAGGGGGGGCAGAGGGAGAGAAACAGTGTCTTGCGGCTGCTGTAGCTCTGGTGGCTGCTCCGCGGGGCTCGTTTTGGATCCCCCTGCAGTGAAACAGGTCCTGTACGGCTCCGCCACTGTAGTAGAAATGATGTCTGCGGTATACTCTGCTCTCTCCTCCTCCTCCTCCTCCTCCTCCTCCTCCTCCTCCTCCTCCTCCTCCTCGTCCTCCTCCTCCTCGTCCTCCTCCTCCTCCTCCCCCCCCTGCTCCCCTCCCCTCCCTCCTCCCTCCGCCCGTCCGCCCTCCCTCCCTCGCGCTCTCTCGCGCTCGCTCGCTCGCTCGCTCCAGTATGTAAATGTGTAATAGAAGCCAAATATGGAGCAGTTGGCTGCCGCCGCCGCAGCTCAAGGATCCGACTTGGGGGTGGGGGGGGGCACCCTCTGGCGGGCGGCAGGGCGAGCCGCTCGGAGCACCGAGAGCGCACGGCGCGGCGGCCGGCCGGCCGGCGCCCTTAACCCTTGGCTGCGCGCTGCCGGGGCTCCGCGGCCCCCCGGGAGGCGGCGCGTGGCCCGACCCGGCCCGGCCGCGGGGGGGGGGGGGGGGGGGCCGGGGGGGGGGGGGGGGGGCGGCTCAGGCCGGAGGGGACGCTTCTTCCAGGTTTGGGAAAGGGGCGGGGAGCTGAAGCGATGAGGTAATTTTAGCGGTGACCGGTCGGTCCTCGCGCGCCTCCCCGGGCCCCTGCACCTAGTTGGAGGGGACCGAGCGACCGCGGGGTGCAACTCGGGGCGCCCTGGAGGACTCTCCGAGGGGTGTCGGGCTTCAGCTCGGAGCCAGCGAAGTACCCCAGGGGGAGGAATGGGGGGGGGTCGAGTCTGATCCCGATGTGCCCTTCGTCCCAGGCGCGCCGGGAATCGTCCAAGAGGACTAACTCGGATCGCCGTGCACGTTAGCCCTCCAAGCCGGTTTCGTTCCGGAACCAGGACCACGGGGCTGCGGGGATTGCCTCGGCGTGCAACTCAGGAAAGTTTGAAGGGTCCCCTCCCCCGCATGTGCACCGTCACCTTCCCTGCCAGGGAAAGCGGGTGCCCTCCCTGCCACCCCCCCCCCCCGCCACCTCCTTTTCGTGTTCTGCAGGTCTGCAAATCTGCCCTGGGTACTGGAGTACCCAGCTCCCGCCTTGGAAGACGACCCGCGCGCTCCACTCGCACCTAATTCGGGATCATTAATTTAATCGGAAATGAGGTAACCAGTGCAGGAGATACAGAAAGCAAACCGAGCATCAAATGGCAGTTCTGGTGAATCCACGCTGAAGAACTTCCTCTGCGCTCAATTTTCAAGCGCGGTTCTCAACTGCCCACCACCCCGCCCCCTCCGCGTGTACCACCGCTGGGTGCTAGCATCCCGGGGAGGAAATCTTATGTGGAAGGGTGCACCTTGCCAACAGGTGTGGCACCTGGAGGAAGAGAAGGCACATCCATGCGGAAGGGAGCTCGGTGCGGCGTTCTCCCTGCTGCAGATAATTCTGGAAGACCAGTAGGTGTCGGGGCAGCATTTGACCTCTTTCAGGTGCTTAGAACCAAGTGTCTAGAAACACGATCTTTCCACGTAAGTTTCTCTCTGCAAGCCACCACTATTGACTGTAAGCTGTATCTGAGAAACCTTTGGCTGAGTTTGCTTATGACCTAACGGTTAGTCACCAACCGAAGCAGGGTACAGAATCACCCAGAGAAATGTGTCAGCTTTGAAACAACTGTATTGTAGAGCCAACGTGCTCCAGAAATGAAAATAAGGCTGCTAACAACTAGGAAGGTGTGGAGCCCCGGAAATAATTTTTTTCTCGCATTTTGAAATATCATGCACATATACGTGGCTATTTAAATAAGACTACTGTTCACTCTTACTCGTTTCTACAACTTTTTCTTTTTCTTTTTTTTTCCATTTAAAAAGCAATGCTTGTTACAGTTTAAACCCCAGGTTGGTCTAAAGTGGCATTGTTGGTCTCATTACAGCCTCTAGTGGACAGTTAAAATCAGTTTCCTGAAAAGGCTCTTCCTGGTGTTTTGTTGTTGACAAGCATTGTCAAGGTGAAGGCTAATATCTCAGAAGGTAAGTGGGGAGTAGCTCCTCCCTCCCCCTGCTTGGCCGAGTGGGTTCCTGAAAGGATCAGAAGCAGTTGGTTCAGCACCGAAGAGACGTATGCTTTGTGCTGCAGGTATATAATTATTACTGGCCTGCGAATAAACAGAGAGCTTCTGCTCCTCGTTTCTGTTTGAGACAGCTTTCATAAAAACTAACTTCATCTAAAATATTTTTGTAACAGAAAATATTGGTTGCCATGTTTTTGGCTTAGCCGAGGTGTTTTTATTCTGACTGCCCAATCCACCTCCACTCTATTTTTAGACATCTTCCATTGAGAGTATATTCAGCCAAAAACAGCTAATATTTTAATTATTACATTGACACAGGCAGTTAATTTATTTTAACAACCTTAAACAAATTAAAACACATAACTCAGATTAGAGTTAGTCAATTAATTTAAATGTTCCCTTAAGGAGGCTAAATATGTATATTACCCAAACAGTAAAGACAATTAATAAGAAATGTGTCATTTCCTTTCTTAGCCATTAAGATTAAAGCCATAAACTGCCATGAAAGTCTGTAACTGTTCCTTCCTGCGAGGTCTCGCTTAAATGGTATTCTCGCGATACAGTTTCATTACCTTTAGTGTTGAAACGTTTTCTTTTCAGACGGCCAACTATTAAATGTACAATCACAAATAACTGACTCTTTATAAACAAGATTTTCTGATGGAGATAAAGCCTCAGGGAAAGAGCAGGGCTTTCAAGAAGTTAGTAGCAAGTATATGCTACTGTGGTCCTATTCATCTACCTGCTGTTGTATTCATATAAGCTTAAGTCACATTTCAAAATTAAAGGAAATCGAGAGATAAGGCCTGCTGAGCCTTACCCCTACTCTGTGTTCTGCATTGCTCAAACACCGTGGAAAATCATTTTTATCCCCTATATCTACTTCGTTGTTTTGATAGTATCTACTTTTGAGGGCTTAAAGTAGGCTATTGGGTAAATACGATATCCTATAATTATGTATTACATTTTGCTTCGAAAAGCCTCATCTTCAGAGCCGTGGCAGCATCCGGGAGCTTTTTGGAAATTCAGTATGAGAGTTCCACCCCAGACCTACTGAATTGCAATCTGCCTTTTAACCAGCAACCCTGATGATTCCTAAGCGCACTGTAGTATGAAGAATGCCGTCTGTACCACAGGGCTCTGTCTAGGTGAATTGGCCCACAGACACAGAACATAATTCTTCTATTTATTCCTCTTTTGTCCCCTCCCCTTTTAACTAATTTGCACTTTTTAACGAAACATTATTACATTTAATGCTTTGGCCAAATGGTACCGTATTTCAGAAAAGCCCCAATTGAATGCAAACATCTGCATGATCATTGCCAAGTGGATACTCTGAGGAGTGTCCTGGGGTCTTGAATGTGAAGGTTTTCTTCACGGCAGCAGAGGGAGCACAAGAGTGCTTAATAAAACAAGCATACAAGCCCTCCAAATGGTAAAGGATTTTAAAGCGTAGTATATGTTTTCATCAGAAGTAGCCTCTTCCAGGGGCGCCTGGGTGGCGCAGTCGGTTAAGCGTCCGACTTCAGCCAGGTCACGATCTCGCGGTCTGTGAGTTCGAGCCCCGCGTCAGGCTCTGGGCTGATGGCTCGGAGCCTGGAGCCTGTTTCCGATTCTGTGTCTCCCTCTCTCTCTGCCCCTCCCCCGTTCATGCTCTGTCTCTCTCTGTCCCAAAAATAAATAAACGTTGAAAAAAAAAATTAAAAAGAAAAAAAAAAAGAAGTAGCCTCTTCCATAGTTCATAACAAAACAAAGCCAAGCAAACGCAAACAGCTTACCAGGTTATAACAACTAAATAATCGAACAGGCGGGAAGTTAAATAGAATACAGATACACTTATTTTGAGTTTGAGACTTCGTTTTTTTTTTTAAAGTGGACTTCAAAAGTCATACCTCGAAAAATTCCCCTAGCTTTCCTCCAGTCAAAAATAAAGATAAACATGACCATTTCACAATATATGCAACTCAAACCATCATGTGATACCCCTTAAACTTACACACTGATGTATGTCAATTACTTCTCCGTAAAACTAGGGAAAAAATAGCGCGATACAGAATAAGGTAACTCTAAGAATAGCTCCTGTTTGTTTTAAAAACGTCCGTTAACCCAACACTACTTCAGATAAATCGGTTTCATCCCGGAGGCAAATATGTTGGTAAAAGGATGTGCGCTTTTCACCATGTTTTACTCTCACAGTAATTTGGGGAGGGGACTATCCTTAATGTTTGCACTGGTGAGTACTTACATTTCAATTACATCTATACAGCATTTCATACGTCCCACAGCCTTCTGTGTCACATCTTCAAACACTCCTGGGCGGTGGATAAGACATGAGGAAGCCAAGCCTCAATAAAGTTGTGGAAACAGCTTGTGCTTTTGTGGCGTTGGTCATTTAATTGCTATAATGATCCACTGAGGTGTTCAGAAATAAGGGAGAACACAGAGACATTAAAGATCTGGCAGCATGTTTTTTGTAGTTTTAAAGATTTTCCCAAGTTACTAGATAGTGAATATTTAATAGGTGAATATTTAAATAAGACACTTATGAACAGAGACTCTGTCTTAATTCTCCAGCTGCTTTTTATGTATTTATCATTCATTTGCCTGGCGGTGATTTATTGCACATCTACAATAATCAGGCCCTATATATGAGAATATAGATGAGTAAGAAATCTCTGTCTGCAAGGAATTCCCACCATGACAAATCTTATCTTTTGAAACTGTCCATTTTTACCACGATGAAACATCAAGTCTCAGAGTCACCTGGTCCACCACCTCCCCACATCATTATACTCGTCAGACTTACAAATGTGAGAATCAAATACTAAAGTCTTAAAAATTTGGCAAAGGGGGAGGGCAGTTTACATAACTCTTCAGCAAAATCTGACTTACAAGCTAATATTAATATTTCAAATTTGTATAAACAAAGATACGATGTGCATTTTATCCGAATGTCTTTCCTGTCAAAAACTCACATGAGTAAATACAAATGGTAAACATTTATTTTTTTCCTTTTCAAAAATTGTTAAAAAGCCTCTCCTCCTACGTTAAAGAAGGATTTGCCAAGTTTCTGCCTGGAGCCATTTGTTATGGCTATGTAATAAATCCTGGAAAGTTTGACTTTTTAATGGAAACACTGACAGACCTTTGACCATGCTATTATAGGGAGGGTGTGATCCTACATGTGTCATTTTAAAATCTGAGCAAATCAGAGTATACTTGCAGAACGAATACGCCTTCCTTAGATTGCACTCTGAAACAAAAAGCTGGGGCGACCGGAAAAGTAAAATAAACTAAAAACAAAAGTGAAAACTGCTCACACAATAGACTCTGAGGTCAGCTCACCACACCCAAACTAAAGTCACTGGGCTCTGTGCATAGCAGAGACTCTGAAAGATCCTGAATCATCTTTTTTGACTTTCCACCAAACTGTAGCAGGACTGGTTTGGGGCAATGCAGATGACATCACCAATAGTCAAGAGGGAAATTAAGCCCTCTGTATTACACATCTGCCAGCAGTTTGTAACTTAACAGTACACACATTAGGCAATTTTAAATAAGATTCTGTCTCCAATTAGAAATAAAAACAAATGCCCCAGTACGGGTCCGCCCTCCAAATTGTAGCCACTATCCAGTGTGGCTATTCAGGACTTGAATAGTTCAAATCGAGATATGTTGTAAGTATGAAATATACCTTGGGTTTAAAAGCCTTAGTATGTACGTGCACATACACGTGCATATACATGCATGCACAGGCATATATACACCTCAATACTTACGTGTTGATTAAATGTTGGAATGAAAATATTCTGTATATATTAGATTAAATAAAATATAGCGTTATAATTAATTTTACATGTTTCTTTTTTTCTTTGTAATGTAGTTACCATAAAATTTGAAATTATGCATGTGGATGGAGTGCATATTGTATTTCCAAATGGACAGCACGAGTAAGAGATAATAGGACTACAGAAGTACAGGAATTAGTTCTAAGAACCCACAATTGGAGACATTAGGATTCCGGCATGACTCTCAGTAGTAGTGAAGTCAATAATTATTTTCTACCTTCCAGAGGTGTTCCCCTTGCACTATATTATATAACACACGGATCTTATCCCTGGTTAAAATGACCCCTGAGAGCAAGCCGTGATCTCACTGGTAGACCGACCTAGTATGGGCCTGCAAGACCAAAATTTGTTAGGCTCACCTGTGACTAGGCCTTTGGTCTTTTCTGGGAGGATCTCAGTTACTTTGCCACCATGGGAGAAGCTTATGCTTTGTTTTAGAAAATACAAGGATTCTAGAGTTACAGCTGGTTTTGCCGTGGAGGCTAGATGGTTTGGCTAAACGGGGTTGATACCTTCTAGTGACAGATGGGTATTGATAATGACAATTACATAATTGTTGCTTAACTTGAAAAAAAAATCAGGGGCGCCTGGGTGGCGCAGTCGGTTAAGCGTCCGACTTCAGCCAGGTCACGATCTCGCGGTCCGTGAGTTCGAGCCCCGCGTCGGGCTCTGGGCTGATGGCTCGGAGCCTGGAGCCTGTTTCTGATTCTGTGTCTCCCTCTCTCTCTGCCCCTCCCCCGTTCATGCTCTGTCTCTCTCTGTCCCAAAAAAATAAATAAAACGTTAAAAAAAAAAATTAAAAAAAAAAAATCAAAGCCACCAAAAGGAAATCTATTTCATAAAAAAACAACTTTCTAATACATTCAGCACAATAGAGTGTGTCAAAAGGAAATGAGATGATTTTTAGCCACTATTATTTATTTTGCAAGCAAGACCTAGATAAATTTTCATCACTGTAACTCTGACCAAGATTGAATGTAACGCAGTGACCTACGAAAAATCAGAATTTATGGTCTTTAATCATCGAAAGAACACAGCTCTTGTAATATGAAAAGAAAACGAACATTTTAAGACTTGCAATGAGTGAGTTGAACTTTTGTTTGCTGTTGGCTGGGAGCACTTGGAAATCTATTAAAAGCATTTCATTAACCACTTGGCATCTTGTTTCCTCAAAAGAAATACATTTTCCAAATTAAAATCAAAGCCCCAAACCGCCACTGTTTGAATTTAAGGTAGTGCCAGTTGATGGGTTGTACATGTTAAGCTCAGTTAGAATGCCTTCAAAATAAGATCATGGGCAACAGGCTAAAAAAAATAAACATCAAATTGTTATGGAAGCTCTCTGTTATTCCAACCTCACGACATCAAAATACACTAGCTATTAAGTTCTCTCGCTCTATTTTTGAGTCAATACGGGCAACGGGAAACGGACCCAGATGAGGGTCCGTGTTTAAGAAAATTCTTTTATGAGGGTCTTCCCAAGTTCACCCCCTTGCAGAAAGGCAGGGTTAGGGAAGACTGCTTTGGCAAACTTTGCTTTTTGACACAAATAACCAGAGTTCGCGGGGGAAACTGGCCTGCCAGTGCGGGGGATTTCGCCGCGGGCTGTCTGCTGTCTGCAGAACCCTTTTCTGCCAGGCCCTCTGCAAGTCTG